CAGCCGTGGGTGCTGCTGTGCCTCAGGGCACCTGGGGACACTGCCTGCCCTGCCAGCCGAGGTGCTGCGGGACAGCAAGACAAGGGGGTGCTGGGGACAAGGTTTTGGCACTGAGGACATGAGGTTCCTGGCACTGGGAACACAGGGATGCTGGTTCTGGGGACACAGGGGTGCTGGAACTGGGGTGGCAGCAGCAGCTCCTCTCCACGCCGTGGCAGAGAGCAGCCAGGTCTACACGTGCCCACCCCAGCATGTCAGGGCTGCGGGTACAACGGGACAAGGACACGGCAGGGCAGGGGACATGGCAGGATTAGAGCCACTGGTAAGTACCTGCTCCAGCAGCAGCGTGTCCTTGTGGCGCCGGGCCAGGTGGTAGGCAGCAAAGGAGCCCTGGATGCCAGCCCCGATGACGATGGCGTCGTAGGTGGCCCGCTGGGGCTGGCTGGGGGCAGGCCTGTCTGCCCCTGTCCTGTCCTCGTCCCCCGTGGGGAGCTGGGAGCTGAGCCAGAGGGAGGGACAGGGCAGAGTCCAGCCAAGCCCAGCAGTGGCAGAGCCTTGGCATCCCTCCAGCTCCTGCCAGGACAGCAGGGACATGCAGGGTCCCATCCTGCCCACCTCTCAGGCAGGACCATCCCCATTCCCCGCCAATCCCGATGTCCAGTCCCACCAGGAAGGCTCCAGCAGGACACGGGACTCCACAACACTCCCATTTCCACGCCGATGGGAAACCCTTTGCTTGCTTCAAGGCAAATGGGTTTGTGTTTTGGTTTTTTTTTTTTCCTCCGGCACAATTTATTGCAGCCATAAACTATTTTCTTGCCATCTTTTGTTGTTGTTGCTATATTTTTTACCAGGAGATCAGTGTGATTTAGGGCTCAACAGAGAAGCCCACACGTGGTGCTGAGCCCTGTTCTCCACTGGCTGTGATGGATTTAAAGTTTGCAGCATTTTGGGTGGGGGCTGTGTGATTTGGGGTCTGGGAACACTTGGCAATGCTTTGCCCGCCACCACTGCCTGACAGTTAATTAAGGGAATTAATTTACTCTGCCTTTCGTGGTGTAAAAGGCATTATTTACTGGTTAATTGTTGTTATTACCAAATGTTAAATATCATTATTTATTTTGCTGCTTGCCTCCCGTGATGGATGAAGCACTGGGTAGTGTGGGATGCCCACATGAGGCTGGGGGGTGTTTCACCCCGCCAAACCCTGGTGCCCAGCTGGGTCACTGGGACGCCCCAGCACTGTGCAAAGGCAGAACCAGCAGCTCACAGCAATGGGGAGGTGAGAGGAGGAGGATGGGGAGGGCAGGCAAAGGCTGGACACCCCCCCGACACCCCTTCTGGGCCCTTATCCACACCACTACCCAGAGCCACTACTGCAAGGAGTGCTTGCTGGCCTCAGCACCACCACCATGCCCAGGGCTCTGCACCGTGCAGTGCCCCATTAGATCAGCACATCCTCCCTCGCCTTTGATGTTACAAATAATTCACCAATTTCCCCAGGTTTCAACTTGCTTTTTTTTTTTTTTTTTTCCTTTGAACAGCCCCTCTGCCTGCTCTGCCTTTTTTTTTTTTTCTTTAAAATATTTTTTTTTTATTTTGCTGGGAAGAGGAAGGATAATTAATTATCCGTGAAATGTTAAATGGCAAAAATGAACTGCTCTCCCGCTCGCGGCGTGTTAATAGAGCGGGCTGGAAAAGCCTCACTCGTGCTGCTGTGAAGATGAAGAGGCCACCAGTGGGGTATGGGGATGGTTGGTGGCACTGGAGGGTCCCCTGTCAGGGCACTGCTCTCCCCACCAGCACTGATGTCCCCAGGGCTTGGTGGGACCCCACACGCCATCACTTTTATTGCATGATGTCCCCAGCCAGGGCTGGGTGGCTGGGTGGGAAAGATCAAGGCTGGCACTGGGAAGGGGGTAATGGGAGTTTGGGGACAGCCTGGCATGGCTGTGGGAGCCACCCCTGGCTCAGATCCATGTGGGGCTCCATGGGAGGAGCTTTAGCCAAGGTCAGGAAGGGTTTGGCAGCAATCTGCTGCCTGCTGACGTTGGTACCCTGCACCCACCAAATCCATTTGCACCCATTGCACCCACTGCACCCTCAGCACACTGGAACGCAGCTGATATCCCCCCAGATCCCACCACCATCCACGCCAGCGCTTCGTGCCAGGATGCACCAGCCTCATCCTCCAGCAAGTGCAAACCAGCACTTAAAAAAGAATGAGAGAGCAACGTGGCTCCCCCGTTTACCCCCCAGCCCTCGCCATCCCTGACACTTTGAAGGCACCTGCAAAAGGTTTGTTTGCTTTCTGTCAAACCCACCAGCAGCTGACGGCAGCCTCTCATTAGCAGTCCAGGTACGTGCCTGGGGAAGCGTCGGGGGGATTAAAACTATTTGAATATCAAAATATTAGAAACTTCAATTTGGCCTCAAAATGCTCATCTTCCAAACCCTACCAGGCTTTGGCGCATTAAACATTGATGGAGCCGCCGGCGGATCAAAGTTTCGGGGTTTAGTGCTGAAAGTGCTTGGTGGGAGCGGCGGCCGCCCCCC